TTGAGAGGATTTAGTAGTTTTTAGTACATTTTAGTACTCTTTTAGTACTTTTAGTACTGGGTCTGCAAAGCCCATGAGAAGTACTAAAAATTTGCTTCAGAAACTATTGCTCTATTTCGAGTAGTTGAGAAGTTATAGAACTCCGAAAATGTTCGATGATATCGTTTGGTAGCGACAAGTGACTTTGAGCCAAAAAAGTGGGCAAGATTTGATTTTTTTGGGTTAATAATGAACCATTTCGGACAAAATGAGCCAAATTGTCTCTTATTTTGACCTAAATTATCATTTGGCATAGCCAAAACCAAAATCACATTTGGTCACCTTCACTTTGTTCCACTGTGTTATTGAACAATCAACGACATACAGTCACTGAAATAGGAATTTTCAACGTTTCGAGAGCACCGATCAGGGAGAAAGCTTTATCACCTCAGGTGGTATTTCTTAACGGCCGATCAATATGACCATTATAGCATTTCGATATTCGAACGGAAATCCCCCAGAGCGTGTTATGAGTACTAACGTCAGCAGCACTAACTAACGTCAGCTGCTGATATCAGCTGCTGACGAGTATGCGTTGCGTTGTTTCAACGCATTTGCAGTATAAAAACGAAAGGGTAAGAAATCATAACATTGGATTCAATCATAACAATGGATCGTTCAATCAATTTTATAATGCAAATGCGTTGAAACAACGCAACGCATACTCGTCAGCAGCTGATATCAGCAGCTGACGTTAGTTTGTGCTGCTGACGTTAGTGCTCATAACACGTCCTGAAATCCCCTATTGAGATATTTATCAATAAATCAATTTATTAATTGAATTTAATTTCGCAGAACAATTCCGATTTGTATCACGTAAGACGTCTGACTGATCATATTTGATTTCTTTTCAATCGTATGGTTCCTTTTGCAAATGGAAGCGCAAATCAGTTCGAGAAACACTAAGGTAAGACATTATCTTATTGCGTTTGTAAGCATACTTCAGATTGGCTGACTTTGATATGAATATGTCATAAAAAAGAGTTACAATCTTACATTCATTTGGTTTTCGGTCTTTTAAGATTTCAGCAATTCAATTCATCCAAATAGGTTTTAGTACATATAAGTGCATCACAAATTTGAAGAAAAATTACAAGTTTTTAACAATATTCTAGATTTATTTTCAGATTAAATAAATCGAAATAAAAATAGAAAAAATGAAGACATTACTTGTGTTGTCTCTCCTCGTGTCATATTCTACTGGATTCATGTTAGGTAATTTAATATTTTCGGGACTACTATTCAACTTCCCTTTTCAGCTCTTAGAATTCAATTCTAGACTTGTTTTTTTTTCATATTACAATGGTCTATAGGCGATGGATTTTATGATCGGTGAGCTTAAACATCCGGATCCGGATGAATTGTTATGTGTTTAACCGACGTTCTTCGTGTTTTTTTTTAGAAGAATGGATAAATTTCGCAAATTAATCAAACAAAGTAAGTCGAAAATAGTTTATTGGAGATTGCTCGTTCAGAATTCTACTGAAATATTCTTTTTACGATTTAGATGATGCATCTGGAGTAAAAAAGGTTCTCCAACAAGGAATGAATATAAATTCTCGATTTGAATATCAAAAAACAGCAATTCATCTAGCTGCAGAATTGGGTATGGGAATTTAAGTGAAATGTGTATAAAAGAACGTAGTATTCATACGTATATGGGAATGTGGCCGTCAAGCATGAAATTATTGAATATAAATCAGAGCTCATTAAATCACAAAGAGCATTCGATCAAAGTATCGGATTTAAAATGACAGCGTCTGCTTGGAAAATCCATTGACCTCGTTGTACAATAAACTCATCAGAAAATGTACGAAATTGTGGAGAAAATCATTAATGGTGCATTGGATTGTATTTTTGCAGGTAGCATCGATGTTGTTCGCATTCTCGTTGAACTTGGCGCTAGAGTCAATGCTACGGATAATTGGAGAGAGACACCACTTCATTTGGCAGCTCAGTATGGTGATTCTCTTACTACCTCAAATCACGAAGAATCTTGTGACTTTGATCCTTTTTTGCATTCAGGTCACACGAATATTGGTCGAATTCTTATTGAACGACGTGCTAATATTAACGCCAAATCTTTTGGGGAATTGACGGTTCTTCATATAGCGGCTATTTTTGGTAAGTGGTGTTTCAATAAGTTGAAATGTGACAAAAATGACACAAGAGTCAAATAAAAGTTCAAACATCAACGATTCGGTTTTAATTCAGGTCATGCAGATTTTGTACAAATGCTCATCGAACACGGAGCAAAAGTCAATGCAAATGACAATGATGGAAAAAATACACCACTTCAATTCGCAGTTGAAAATGGTAATTGTCTAAATATCTGCCTCAAAACGCCAGCAATCTTTTCTGCCAATGTCAAATTGGCGTTGATACAATTGCATTGTAGGTAAAACGAATGTCGTTCGAGTTCTAGTTGAGCATGGCGCTGATGTGAATGCTAAAAATAATATTGGAGAGACACCACTACATAAAGCAGTTATGAATTCAAAACATTCAGATGTTGTTCGAATCCTCATTAAACAGGGCGCTGATGTTGAAGCTAAGGATCAACGTGGAATGACACCTCTTCACAACGCAGCTTGGCGTGGTAATTATTAACATTATTTTTTTAATTCACAACAAATCTTCAAAATTCATTCGATTTTTCATTCAGGGAATTTGAAAATTACTCAAACCTTAATTAAATTTGGCGCTGAAGTCAATGCTAAGACTCAGAGACCAATTCATAGTGGATGGACGCCACTTCACTATGCAGCTACGTATGGTAATTGTTCAATAGAAAAATAGAATTTCAATTTATCGGAGGTTTCAATTCAATGAACCACCCATTGACTTTGACTCGTTTTCAATTCAGGACATTCAGATATTGTACGAACCCTCATTGACCATAGCGCCGATGTTAACGCTAAGAACGGAGATGAAATGACGCCACTACATTTCGCGGCTGTTTATGGTAATTACCTGAAAATTTGTTGTAAATCACAAACCTCAATTTTGATCCGCTTTTAATTCAGGTCATGTGAATGTCGCACGAATTCTTTTCGAGCATGGTGCTCAAATCAATGCTAGGAACAAAAGTGGAAAGACACCGCTCGAATATGCAGAGGAAAAAGGTAATTGTCTGAATTGTTACCTCAGAAATATGTGCCAATCGATTTATCATTTGTTGCGCATTTTTTGCAGAGAACACCGAAATCACCAACATCCTAAAATAAGCTGAATGAAACGAAGACCAAGGATCCACGGAAGTCAATGAAGTCGGAATATAGCGATAAAATTCATTCTTTGTATTTGTAACAATAAAATTGTTCGGAAATTTCCTCATGGTCAGTATTTGTGCCTTTTTCAATTCATTCGTTAATCGAATCAATTGATCGAGAACTTGCACCAGATGGCTTGGATTGTGAAGACAAGAAAATGTGTGTCAATTAAAAATTTATGCATTCGAATTTCGAAGCACTTCTGACCATTTACCAAAATCGGGTTATTAAGTTACACCCCAAAATAGAACAGTCTGTACTCTCAGAAAAATTAGCAGACTTTTTGTTCCGATGCGGAACAATCCATCCGATTTATCGGAATCATTATATACTAGAAATGCCGATAAATCCATCCGAGTTCCGATAAATCGGAACATTTGTTTCGCTAATTTTTCAGAGAGTATACAAAAAGAATAGATAAAAACGCACTACGCAGTCGTTCCAAATGTTGAATGTTTTTTCATCTGTTTCTGTTATCATTTGTTTCGATTGTATGAACATGCACCCCCTTTCAAGAGCCATAATTTATGCAATGCCATAAATCGAGTACGCGTTATTGTCATCATTTTTCAACAGAGGGCAAAGTTTCAAATTACGACTATTGTAAAAGATTCGATCCAGATGGATGATATTTTATTTCTTTACGTCCAATCAAAATGCACATGGTTTATGTGTGTAAATGTTTTTTATTATTAGATCTTATCAGAGATTGATTAGGACGAAACATGTTTGAAATTATGAAAACTGAACACACATTTACATACAAATGGTACAGCAATTTCGAAAGTAGATTTTAATTAGAAAATGAAATGTAGCGTTGAAGCAATGACCAGTGTGGAAATGATGCTGAAAATGGACAAATTTTGGGCTGTATTGCATCCATCTTCAAAACACTGGCAAACACTTTCCATATGATGGTCATTATCGACTATGTAACATTCTTTCATCGATCTTCGATATCCACACGTTCTTACCTGTAATGGAAATGGAATTAGGATTAATATTAGTAATCAATTAATCGGTTAAAATGAACAAGACTTGAAAAATGTAAATTAAAAAATATTCTTACCACTCGACTTGCGTCTAGGTCAGTTTTCTTCAGAAACTTGACTACAAGAAGGGAAAAAAAATATTACAAACGCATATTACATGGCATAGTCAAGCTCAAATCTTGCTTGAATCATATTACGTACATTTGTATGTCATTGTTCGGCAAAATGCTGGATTCCCCTCCGCATCAGTGTCGTCACACGGCTGGTGAAAACCGGCCACTTTATGCGGTGGGTGTGCGCGTAAGTCAGCGCATTCCGGATCCAAATGAGAATTGCATTGATAGCAATTAATTGCGTCCACTAAGCAAAAATTGAAATATTGCGTTAAAATTCTCCGTTTGTTATGAAGCAACTACGTTTATGGTGAAGTTAAGAGTTATCAAATATCAGTTTCAACACACACACGAAATGAAACAACTGACAAGCTGATATGGTTGTATACATTTTACAGAGTAAATAGGAACAAAATCTGGATTAAGTGTATGATCGATTTCCATTGATTTTTTGTTTTAACCGGACAAATCATACAAATCTCAGCCGCTCAGACCTTTCTTTTCGGTTGAACCAGATTAAAGCAGAAAGCTAGACATTTCTGAGACGTTTTTTGATTAGATTTAGACCGTTACGAAACGATCCGTTGAATTCAAATAACAAACGGTCAGCAAAAAATGAATTCGCAAATTCGATACGCGAATAGTTTGAAGAGTGTGCCTTGTTATGTACGCTAATTGTTCAATTACATTCAATTTTTTTTTTCGTTCAAGATAGAAATGAATGAAGTATCAAACGTAAAAATACGAACAATGTTTCAATAAACGGAAATCCATTTGCAATGACGATAAGTGATCGATCACGATGGCAAATTAAGATCGGATAAGCGATGCATCAGCAAAAATAGGTCATCTCGTTTAGGGGAACGTTGCTATTAATTTTCAATCGTACAGAGCTACTTTGTGACGGCAAATTAGAATCCTCTATTAAAATATTATTTGTCAATTCAATTATCATTTTTGCAAAGTGAAGTGCAGAAGCAGCGTCAGTTGAATTAACTGATTATGACATTGAATGTTCTTTTGCCTTACATAATTTTAAATGTCTTTATTTACTCTTCCTTTCTAGGAATGATACCATTTTGTGATCTTCACTTTTCTCTCATGAATTAGACACAATTTACACTCATTTAGACATTCATCCGCGATGATGATATTATCTCGAAGTGAAATGGTCACGTGACTCAATTTTGAAGAATATTAAATTAACTGCGCTTTTATGTAGCACTTTGCGTGCAATCGAATGAATATTCGTTTGTATCCATAGCCGAATAACTAGAATGAATATTCGTTTGTATCCACTAGTTTTGAACAATGTCTGCATTCGCATTTCGAGTGTGCTACGCAAGTGGAGGAAAGCTAGCCAGCGGTTTGAATTGGTTTTGATTGGATAATCTAAATACAATTGCTGATAATGTATACACATGTATGGAATTATGGAACAATTCAATTTCATGGTTCACTAAACTTGAATCAATTTAACGGCAGAATTTTGGATTTTTGGGTGGCGTTTCAATGTTCAAGGTCTTTTATTTTAATTCACTTCTATTGTTTTTTTTTCGACCTACCTGTTGCTACCGAAAAATAGCCAAGTAGGACAACAATCACGCAAAATAACTTGGAGCAATACATTGTGATGAACAATGGCTATTGTGAACGAATAATTTTGACGATTTATACCTTTAAAACTTTTTGGTACTTTTAGTTTCAACTCAATTTAATTTATCAACGGATCTGGTATACTTTTATTGACGATCAATTGATATGCTCCACAATGGTAAAAATTGTTGCTTTAAACTCTTTATCGAATGCAATTTTTTTACATTTTTTAATTACAATAGCCACCGTAAAATAAGCGTTGATATTATTTTGCACGTATTCAAATAGATGCACTCCGTCTACAATTCCTCACGAAAACAATAAAATTGGATATTCTTTTTTAAACTCGTAAAAATGCTAAACTGCACACTTGGACTTGAAAACCGAAATGGGCCGAGTGATGTGTGTGCTTCGTGCCGAGTTCGCAGTCCGTGTGTGATCGCATCAATCGGCAATTAATAAGTAAACGTCTGACACCGAGAAACACGGATATTTATGCGTTCGCCCGAATTTATTCTGTCTGAATTTCAGTTGACGGAGAGAGTATGCGTACGGATGTGATCTCATCATCCGAACGTGCATTCAACGATCACACGCAACCGGTGTTGTACCGTTCCCGTCTCGTCAGCTGTTTAACCAACCGAAACCACTTTTTTGATTGGTCAACATCATAGGGGTATTGCAACGACCATAAAATATATGTATTTCATCAAGTTTATCAAGCTCTTTCCAAGTTTATGCATAGTGTCGAACTTTTGTTCAAGCTCCACCATCTAAATGTACAGTGAAATAATTTACGGGCACGACGTAAGATGGCGTTTTTTCTGGTCAAAAAAGTTGCAATACCCCTATGGTCAACATACTGACAATTGGAGCGGTAATTGCATGAAAAAGAGAGAGCGAAAACGAGAAATGGCGAATGTGCGATTGTAATTGAATTTGAAATCTTACTTGCGATTCTCCAAGTTGAAAAGTACGCAAAAAAGCAAAGCCAATGTAAGTTTGTATTATCTGAGTGCATCTGGACAATACCAGATATACCAATAACAAATTTACTGATAATAGTTGGGTTACACGAATGTGCGATGTCGTAACGTTTACTGGTTGAATCGTATGTCGCGGTGATTTTTCAAAATCTTTAACGCTGTCAATGACATTTGGGATTTCAAAGGAAGATATAGCTGACGGTTAATACTTTTTTGATCACGTGCGACTCGGTTCTACAATCAAAACTTGAAGAAAGAAAAACCTGTAAACAGCATTTTCCAGTTGAAGTTCCTTCGAACTTTTTTATTCCACGCGAGTTATACCAATGTATCAAGCATTGGAATGAGGATTTCTTTTATGCTCAAAATAGAAGCAACTCCATTCTCCAAATGTCCATAAACGTAACGGACTATCAAATTTAAAATATAAACCCGTCCAACGGATACTTTTGTGAGATTATATAGCTAATTGAATAACTGTCTTGTCTTTGTTTTTATTTATAGATGTGATATTCTTATCATATCGTATGTGACTTCAAATCGAAGCGAACGCATTGCGGCAAAGACAAAAGAATCGTTGCTTACTATCAACTTTATGATTGCGGGCGGTCAGTTAAGGCAATAATGTTATTTTGGTTAGTTTACTGTCATTTAAGGGCAATAAACTCACTGCTCTTTTCATTATTTTCGACTAAAGTCGCCGAAAAATGGATTTAGCCATGTAATCTAACTCTCAAAACTATTTCCAGTTGAAAATCGACCGTTGCAATTTTCGAATGAACTTAAATCGAAATAGAGCAATTTGGTCTAAATATGCGCGAAACTCAATCAATCATCAAATCTGAAGAATTGTGTCACTTAAAGTCCGTGTTGTGTGAAACGGTATCGCACGATTCCCCGCTTTTTCCTGAACACATACAACGACATTGTTCAAAAGCGGCAGCCTAGAAATGACGACATAACATACATACAACAGACTGGCGGCACCGGCGCAACTCAGCTTCCGATTATTCAATCGCAGTTGAGCAAATGTGCGAGATGTACGAAACGCGATGGAATGTAACACAAAAAGAAGTAGCCGCTGTTGAACACAAGCGCAAAATGCACACAGAGACACAGACACACACTCACGAAACCGAGTTGGAGCATAGCAAATAAAGTAGATCACTTTTCAGAATAGGAGCAGTATAACGTCGTATAAGTTTTCCACTGGAGCTCAAACGTGAACAGTTGCCGAGAGTGTACACTCCTTTTGATAGCCATTGGTGATTGAAGCAGAGCATAACAGGTTCAGGAAAAAATTTGGTGTGTTTGCCAATTTGCAATCGTCGAAACGAAAATTAATCGATTTTTCTGTGAGTTTTTGCTATTCACTTGGTGTGTACACTTTTTTCAATTGGAAATTAAATCCACGGCGTGAATTTTAAGGTGAAAGAAAAAAAAAACCATAAGTTGAGAACCAAAAAAAAAATTTGCATTGGAAAAAAATGGCCGCGAAACAATCAATTATCATTGCAAGTGTTTTACTCTTAGTGATTTTCGTTGAACAAGGTGAGAAAATTTTTATGCATATGCAAATTTGTAGCCACACAAGATTTGCCAAGTTTCTCTGTTATTTGTTGCATTATAAATCTTTTTTGTTCTCTCGTCTGTTTACTGTTTGTTGTGCTTTGAAAAAAAAAATTCTATTGCAGCCCCATGATAGTTTTGTTGAGTTGTGAAAATGTGACGAAAAAATGTGTTCATCATATATATTATTTTAACTTTTTCACTTAGACTAAATGGAAGCATGTAACATTCGGTATTGTTTCATTGGAAATTCATTAGTGGTACGCAAATTATGTCGTTTCATGTATCATACCAATTTTGTCTATCTATCGACCAGTAAATCGTTATTTAATGCATGACACAATGTTAAAGTGGAATATATCAAAAGTGCAAAGTATGCCACAAAGGAAGAAGAGAAGGCGAAAAAGTCGCGCATTGGATGACGAAAGAGTCGTGTCAAAGGAGAAAAATCGCTGACGAAATATATATGCCATAGGATATTCAATCGATAATTTGGTCGGGGCAAAGAACCGACGGGTGGAAATAATGTATGAAAATTCAAACGAAACGCTGAACGCGCATGCGATTCTCTTGTGACACAAACACACACACACACATGCATCGAGAAATCACAATACGTACTACACTGAAAATGTGGAAAGAAGGACACCAAATTCCTTTCCCCCATCATGCGAATGAAAATGTTACACATCGGCATCATTCTCTTACGTAACCATTCCATTTTCTCACATCGATTCATCCAAAAAAAAATCAACAATCACGTTTAAAATGCATCAGCAACTTCTGCCGTCTCTCCTCTCTGACTCTCTCGCTTCAACAATGATTGCAATCAACTTTCACTGAATCAGTTTTTAATGACGAAAAACTCTCAATTTTATTTTCGCATTACGCAATTTCATGATGTAGTCGACATCAATAGTAAAAAATACGGAAATATCAACTATGGTATATGCGTAATGCAGATAAAGCAATTATTCTAACTATCTCAAGAACACACACACACACAGTATTGTTAGTTATGTAAGCATGGTTCTAATCTTAACGTTTATAATATTATAGCAACACCCTATTTATTTTTTCGACATTTTTTTTGTTTTAATCTTTATTTACATTATCAGCATGTAAGTAAGAATATGTACATTTTTTTTTCCTTTTGCTCAGTGCGGCTGAGAGCCTTATCGGTTCACTTTGTATTTCTTATGTTATTTGAGTTTTTATTTTCAGCTCAATACACGCAACTTTATATTATTCTGTTTGCATGAATTGTCCGCAGCAAATGTATATAAGTAAATATTTGTCATATGCATTGCATTCTTCATGCGATATTTTGTTTGAATTCGAACATTTTCATTTTGGGATTAATGAACCAAATTCAAACCCACGTGTGGATGTTATTACAAATAGGTTCAGCGATAAAATGCTTCGAATGTAACAGTCACTACAATCAAGGATGTGAACTGGACCTTGTGCCATCAAACTTTTCCGTGGATTGTTCATTAAAACAGGATCGCGATGATAGAAATAAGCCCATCCAATACACCATTTGCCGAAAAGTGCTGCAAGTCATCGAATTCTCGGTGAATCAATGTAAGTTAATTGTTTTATTGTTGTAACAAACGATTCTGCCTAACCAAATCCATATAAGACTCTCCACTCTTTTCTGATCCAGTGCCAGCTAATGTGCGCGTCATCCGGTCGTGCGGGTAAGAAGATTTGTTTTTGTTTTTTTTTGTTTCTAATATTCTCACCTATAGATTTTAATACTTTATTATCTGAGAGATGTATGACTCGTGTGCAAATATTGTAGCTGAGTAGCCTATCTGACTATTTTCGGACGTTTTGGTTTGCTATTGAACATTATTCGCACACGACGGAGCTCCAAAATCGAAAATTTTAATCTAAAATCAATCTTCTGATTCCACATTTACAGCTATGATGCGAGAACCTACTCCAATACCTGTTATAAAAGACACGGTAAGTAGTCCAAAAACACTGATCAACCAGATACAAGCTATCGTTATCATTCGAAATATGTCATTGGCATAATACATTTCACATGTTCATTTGTTACAGGATTTGGCGGTCGTCAGATTGTGTGCGCTTGTGATCAACGAGATAATTGCAACCATTCGAATTCGTTAAAAAGCCCGATCATGCTAATAGCTTTATTTAGCGCCATCGTTGGCTTTTTATCACATTAAGATGATACGGTTGCATAAGCACAGCGAGTAAAGAAAAAACACGGCTAAAAGAAGATCTTGCTTCGCAACGAAACAAGACAAGACATTCATTATTGGAACAACAGTCCACCGAGACAAAGCCAATCGCCATTGCGACGCACTTATGCTGAGTGATTTTGTTTAATTTTTTCATTTTCTAATTAATTTTTTGGACATTTTTTTTATTAATTTCTGATTCCAGAATTGAAATAGTAATAATAATATAAACGCACGCCCTAGGCATAGACATATCCACCCGTGTCGTTGTGTCTTGCTTGAGTCAATACAATGAACACGAATTTAGACTTGAATGGAATAACAACAGCAAATTAAAACATCAGGAAAATTCTTTGGTTTAACTCAATCGTGTTGAGTCAGAGCGTTGTGACATAGAAACAAATCAGCCATCCCCTTGTATTTCGTTTTAGTTGAAAAAAAAAACAACAACACTTTTTACTGTGTTCTTATCGTATAAGAGACCAAGCGATTTGAAAGGCTATCACTCCCATGAAAACTTTTTAGACGCTTATAATATATTCACGTTTTAAATTGATCACATTGTTATATCAAAGTTTTCTTTTTTCGTTTCCCTCTCAAACTTTTACTTGATTACAGAACGCATGAAATATCCTCCTAAGGTATTATTCATGGTTTGACTCTGGTCCTATCCCACGTAGTTTAACTGTTACCAAAAAATATTTATGATGCCATTTTATCTAAGAAAAAAACAAACAAAGTCAATCGATTTTCAGTTTTAGCATTTTGGACAAAACCACACACATAATAATGTAATAGCAATTCTTTTAACAGAACAAACAAAAATGGTTATTGCAAGACGGCACAAGCCATGGATATAAGCTAATAAATGAATTTGATCACCATGTTATATCTACAGTAGCATAAATTAATGTAGAGACAAATGATAGGATATACAAGAAAAATTTCACAATTTATATTCGTCGTCTTGAGGACTAAAGTGACTTTTAGTTTTGTCATATATTGTCGTGAGTTGCTTCATAAAGAAATGTTTTTTTTTTCTATTTTTGTTCGAGACATGTTTAGGCAATATGATAAAAATTAAATGTTTCGTGATTCGAAGACACTATTTTATTCAATTGGCATGGATGCTGAGTGAGTAGCAGCATGTTACAGCTTCAGAGTTGAATGAAATCGGTTTTGAATAGTCTGATATGACGTTAAAAAGGACAAAAATGGTTTTTGTCATTCGTCACTTCAGTTCTTTGCTGAAACGAGATTTTGTTACTTTTTCGAAGCTACTTTGTTACCAACATAATTATAATCAAAAGTGTCCACAGCCAACATCTCATTCATTCCATAAATTCCAATAAATTATATAGGTATACAGCTCAATTTTCGTACATTTATGTGCTTCGAGTTCGAACCATTTCTTCATTTAAAATTCAAATTTAAATCAATTTGGAAATTTGTAGCCCTGGCTTTATTATCGAAACTAAATGGAAATTTCATTACGTATTGCAAATCCAATAGCCACCACCAAATACAAAAAAAA